AAGAGGGTTCTGATCCCAGCTGGAGCTGGTAGGCAGCCCTGCAACACGACGGATCATAACAACAGCAATAACTGGTTAAAGCTGCATTTTGGAGCTAACTTGCCTTTCCTGGGTTTAGCCAGGGCAAAATGCGACCATTAAAGGTAACCATCCAGCTAAATGCCAAGCAGGAACAGAATGACTGCCTGTTCTGTACGGAACCTTTCAGAGAAAACGAGTGTATTTATCATCATGAATCAGAAGTCTCCCTAGCTTTAATGGAGAGGGTGGGGAGTAATTTTTAGCGGAATAAATAGCAGCTGGAATAGCACAATCAGTACAGTAGCCCCTGTATTCGTTATTTAGATATTCAACTTTGCCTGTAAATCACCCAGATGGCCTAGCTGAGGGACAGTCTAGTGAGAGAGAGTTGTCTCCTCATGCATAGGGTAAGCTGGCAGAATGATTCAGCAGGAAAACAGCTGCAGTCAGCAAGGTGTCTTCCTCCAGGGTTACTGTTTATAACCACAAAGTACACAGAACATTCCCCAGCCTGAGGTTCATCCCAGTCCTATGACCTGACCTTCCCACGCTGCCTCCCACGCAGCCAAATTATTCCCCTTCCCCTCACCCAGTATGCACCCTGTCTAGCCACTTATATCAGAGTAGCAAGCACAATGGGATGTCAAATGCCACCATGCTTGTTCATAGGGGTCCGGGTAGAGCCCCCGCCCCCAGACATTCATTGAATTGTCAGGGTTATTCATTCGAGGAAGAAGAACCCAAGCTCAGGTCCTTTAAGGTCACAGAAATATTTAACCATAGCATCTTTCAGGGCATGCCCGGCTGAGCACTGCAGTTTTTACCAAAAAGCGACACCCATAAGCTGATAGACAGTTTATGGGTGTAGCGTTTTGGCAAAAACAACTGTTTTCATTGCCTGAGTTCCACTGAATTCCGACTGGCTCTTGGCCTCCAGATCTGGCTAGCAGCACCTGTGAATCTTTCTCTTTTTTAATTTGGGGGCCAGATTCCTAGTTGTAGGTGCTCAGCACTTCTGATCATTCCTAGAAGCTAAATACTGTGTAAGTCGTCAACTCCTCTACCCCACATTGGCGAATGCAAGATGCAGTCTATTTTCCAGTGCTTTATCCAGGCTACTTTGAAGGCCTAGAGCAGGGGTTCTCGCAACAAATGTTTTGGTGGCCTCAGAGTGCGGCCACCAACTCATGGTGGCTGCACTGATACTTTTTCCCTAATATACTTAATTAACTTTAGGAAGGACAATTAAATATGCACAGATGCACATCCAAATCATTGTAATGTATATTTGTAGGGTTTTTTGGCAGATTCAATAACAAAAATAATGCTGACTTCCCCTTCAGCTCCCCCCCACCCCATCTCCCTCTACACACACATATCCAGGGCTTAGTGGGTCCAGGGGCTTGCTATGAAAAGTGATATTTGCATATTTGTTAATATCACAGCACACTTAGTAGCTGCCTGGGAGGCTATGAAAAGTGATATTAACAAACATACAAGTATCACTTTTCACAGATAGCTAGTAAGTCTGCTGTGAAAAGTGATACTTGCATGTTTGTTAATATCACTTTTCTCAGCAAACCCCAGAACCCATTAAGCCCTGGATGGGGGGGCCGAAGGGAGAGGCAGCAGGGGCCAGAGGGGAAGGTGGGATGGATGCAGGACTGGGAGAGGCAGTGGGGGCCCGGGACAATGGGGGGGATGGATGAGAGGCCAAGAAGACAGCAGGGTCCTGGGGGGGAGGGTGTTTTGGATATCGGGCTGTGGGAGGCAGCGGGGGCCTGGATGGACACAGGGGCGATGGGTGTGGGTGGCCAGAGCCAGGTGGCTGCTGCCATGCAGCCAGGGCTGGGGGTCAGTGCCCACAGCCAGAACCCGGAGCTGGGTGCCGGAGCCCAGGAGTGCATGGCTGGAGTCAGGAGTCAGCGCCCGCCACTGCGTGGCTGGAGTCAGCGCTTGCTGCTGCGCGGCCAGGGGTTGGCATCCAGGGCCAGCTCCCACCACCGTGTAGCCAGAGCCCTGGAACAGAGCTGTGGGTCGGCACCTGCTGCCGGGCAGCTGGGGATCAGTGCCAGGGGCTGGGGCCGCATGGCCGGAGCAGTGGGTTGGTGCCTGCCACTGCGTAGCCAGAACTGGGGACCAGAGGCCGACTAAGCTCCGTGGCTGGAGCCAGAGGTCAGCACCTTCTGCCCCGTGGCCAGAGCCCCGTGCTTGGAGCCCGCTGCCCTGTGGCCGGGGTTGGGGTCAGCGCCTGTAGCCAGCACCTGCCACTGCGCGGCTGGAGCCCGGGACTGGAGCCAGGAGCCAGCACCTGCTGCCATGCAGCCAGAACCAGGGGCTGGAGTCTGAAGCCCCCCTGCTGAAGGCCAGGGCCATGTGGCCAGAGCAAAGTAGTACCCGCTGCCCTGTGGTTGGAGCCCGGGGCCGCATGGAGACTGCCGCCCACCACTGGAGACTGCCGCCCAAACCCTGTCCCCCCCAACGTGGGTTAAGAACTCACCTTGCTCCTGCAGCATTGTGCCCCACCTCTCTCCAGAGGCGGTGCAGGGCGCCACATCCAGAAGCAACAAGGAGGGAGGAGAAGAGGCCGATGCTTTGTACCCCCGCCTCCCCCATCACCGCCCAGGAGGTTGTCGTGGCCACACAAAAAGCCCCTGGTGGCCGCATGCGAGAAACGTTAGCCTAGAGTCACAGAGCTGCTGAGCACTTGAATTTCCCTGTGATTTCCGTAGGAGTTGTGGGTGCTCGGCACGTGTGATAATTGGGCCCTAACGACCAATATTTCAAAGAGCTCAGTGCAGCGGTACGTGCTGGGTCCTGAGCACTCTTGAAAACCTTGCCTCAGTTTGGGTACCGAACACTTGGCAAACGTGCCCTATCTCTAGGCTTGGCAGAATTCGATTTTTATTTTTTTATCATTTCGATGGATAATATCAATTATTTTTAAGCATTTTTTTCCATTTAAATTTTCACAGTGGTGGGAAATTATGGGTGGGGGGGCGCCAGATAATAGGGGAGATCAGATATTAATTATTTAATGGCAGCAGACACCGAGATTCAAAAAGTCAAACCTTTATAACCGTTAGACCAGAAGTGGGCAACCTTTCAGAAGTGGTGCATGGAGTCTTCATTTATTCACTCTGATTTAAGGTTTTGTGTGCCAGTAATTCATTTTAACATTTTTAGAAGGTCTCTTTCTAGAAGCCTATAATATATAACTAAACTATTATTGTAAATAAGGTTTTAAAAATGTTTAAGAAGCTTCATTTAAAATTAAATTAAAATGCAGAGCCCCCTGGACAGGTGGCCAGGACCTGGGCAGTGTGAGTGCCACTGAAAATCAGCTCGTGTGCCGCCTTAGGTTGCCTACCCCTGCATTAGACACAATCTGACAACCTCACATGTCAAAATATACAAAGTAAATATCCTGAAATCAAACCCTAATACATTCTCAAGCAGCATTTTTCTTACTTTGCCTATTTGTACATATTAGATGATTATTGATGGAAATATTATTTCATGGGTTTGTGCGTTTATGGTGAAATTGACATTTATTGATCAAAATGTAAATCCTTCCAAGTCTTCATAGGTGCTGGAACTGGGGGTGCTGCTGCACCCCTGGCTTGAAGTGGTTTCTGTTCTATACAGGGTTTAGAGTTTGATTCAAAGGCTCTCAGCACCCCCACTATACACATTGCTCCAGCGCCCCTGGCCTACCTATCTCTCACTATCAGCTCGGGTTTGTCACTGAGTGTCTGTAGTCCTGTTTCAGAGGAGTAGCCGTGTTAGTCTGTATCAGCAAAAACAACGAGGAGTCCTTGTGGCACCTTAGAGACTAACAAAGTGGGTACTAGCCCACGAAAGCTTACGCCCAAATAAATGTGTTTGTCTCTAAGGTGCCACAAGGACTCCTCGCTGTTGTTTCTGTAGTCCTGGTATTTCCTTGCAGATTTTCCTCTGCGCCTCCTGAATTTCCTCCCAATGCCAATTCACCTCCTGGCAAAATGCCCCAGCCGGACGCACTGAAAGGACAGGGGAGCTGCAGAGCTGGGCAGAAAGTGGGTGGCGCTTGCTGACAGCTCTCCAGTGGTGCCACTAGCCGAAAAGGCACTTTGAGAATCAGCTCGGACCACAGAGGGTGGAAGCTGCTTTTGCTAATGCAGAGCCAATCAGAGCCAGGCGGTCAGGGCATTGCAGGCTTTAGCCAATCGTGTGGGAAGCCTGTCGCTGTGAGGATGAATGCAAAACCCTCCAAGCTGGAGCCCGTTGCTTCTTTGTTGCTGCATTGTCATGGGACGGCTCCTTCCCTGAAAGCTCCTTTTCAAGCAGAGAGTCCTACCAAAGGTACATGCTCATCCTTAGCCCCAGCTTGCTCCCACAGAGGTACGGCAGCAGGGAGACAGACTGTCCGGGGTGGAGAAGGACAGCTCCATTGCAGAGAGAGGAGAGGCAGGAGAGAGAGAGATCAGGTGCACTGAATTGCTCTGGACACATCTCAGGGAGACAGCGTGCAGACCAGTGCAGAGATACTGGTGAAAACTTAGAGCACGCCTCACAGGCTGCCCATGAATCCACCCTGTCCTACACACTCTCAGAGGGGGAATGCAGCCAGGTCTGGGAACGCTCACGCGCACTTAGAGCTGAGCTGACTGTTAGACTCCTGAGCTAGAGGACTACGTAACACAGGAAAATCTTGAGCCACTGACAGAGGATGAGAGTGAGAGAACCAAATTGCAACACATACACTCATGAGGAAGACACACGCAAATCCTCCACGCACTGGCACGTCCACCACATATACACGGTGAGTCAGTCTATCTCACTCACACTCACACTCACTCTCTCACACACTCACACACACACACACACACTATCTTCAGAAGCAGAGACTGGCACTTCCTCTTGCTCACACCTGTTTTTCCCCTCACTTGCTGCAGTTGTAAAGAGGAGAAGTCCTGCAGATACCCGTGAGTGTAACCATGGCCCAGGTGCAGTACGACTGTTCCAGGGGGAATCATCAGAACATCACCAATTCAACAGCCTCCCCCGTGGGACATGAGCAAATTCAACTCCTGTTGCACGTCTGCAAGGAAGCTAAGAAATCTGCTTACTGTCCGTATAGTCACTTCCCCGTGGGAGCAGCACTACTGACTTGTGATGGGAAGATCTTCTCTGGTAAGTAAGGACAGCGCTCCCCCAAACGGTAAAACCTCAGCTTCTGAAGAGCTGGGCCCTATGCCCTCCAGTGACTCTGATGAAGTAGAGGCACCGGAGTCATAGAATCACAGGGTTGGAAGGGACTTCAGGAGGTCATCTAGTCCAACCCCCTCCCCCTGCTCAAAACAGGACCAATCCCCAGATGCCTAAATGGCCCCTTCAAGGATTGAACTCACAACCTTGGGTTTAGTAGGTCAATGCTCAAACCACTGAGCTATAGTCAGGGCTCCCTGAAAAGGCAGAGACTGTTTGATAGCAACAAGAGCAAAATGTTGTGCAGGAAACTTGTCCTGTATTCTTCATGTCGTCATCCTTTGCTTCCCCGAGATGTGGCACTGGCCTCACTCGGCTGTAAGGTGGTTTGGATTTGGGCCGTCCTTTCCAAACTGGGTCACAATTTATAATCCGTCTCTGGTTCCGGTTTCTGTCAATGGCCTGCCTTCCTCCTCCAGCCTTGGACTAGCAAGAGGAAACTAAACCAGGAAGCCCCTTGCTTCCATCTTGTTTGTGCCCCCACCTGGGGCCACGGGCTACGAAAATGACGGCATACTCACCAGTATTGCCAGACCTTAGGATTCTATTACAAGTCTCATGATGACAGGTTTCAGAGTGGTAGCCGTGTTGGTCTGTAACAGCAAAAAGAACTAGGAGTCCTTGTGGCACCTTAGAGACTAACACATTTATTTGGGCATGCAACCCCTGAGCATGCCCAAATAAATTTGTTAGTTTCTAAGGTCCACAAGTAAGTTTCATGATGTTTCCAACAGCCCAGCTCCTCAGACATGAGAGAACCTGAGCTTTCATTTTTGTAATAGTAAGTTTCTAGCCTTCATGGCTGCAGACAAAAGTTTTTGGAAAAAGGGATCCCCCAAGGCTCAAAAACACAGAAAGCAAAGAAAATGACCCCGCATCTGCTACTGCTAGAATCTTATGATTTTCAAGCCAATCTGGGGGGGCCTGAGTCATTATTTTTGCCTGTGTTTCCAGGTACTCCCCCGTCTGTCTATATCCACCCATTTCTTGTCTGATGGAATGTAAGCTTTCAGGAAGAAACCACCTTTTCATTCTGTGTTTGTACAGCACTTAGTGGGGTGGGTGTGGTGGATTGGATCACAGAAACCTCCTTGCGAACTGCCAACTGATGTGCCAAGACCTCCTCTGCCCCTGCTTTCCCTGCCAGCTTAGGACTCCAGCACCCTGTCTTGTTGAGCCAGACACGCCCGTCTGCTCCAACACAGACCCAGGGTCTGAATTACGTGCCCCAAAGCTGCAGACTTAACTGAAAGCAGCTTACAGAAGTGTTCCTGTCTTTAACACTCAGATGCCCAACTCCCAATGGGGTCTAAACCCCAAATAAATCCATTTTACCCTGCATAAAGCTTATATAGGGTAAACTCATAAATTGTTTGCCCTCTATAACACTGATAGAGAGATATGCACAGTTGTTTGCCCCCCCCCCCAGGTATTAATACATACTTTGGGTTAATTAATAAGTAAAAAGTGATTTTATTAAATACGGAAAGTAGGATTTAAGTGGTTCCAAGTAGTAACGGACAGAACATAGTGAATTACCAAGTAAAATAAAATAGAACACGCAAGTCTATGTCAAGTCTATACAGATAGAACCTCCCCAGTCCCAGTAAGCTTCCTTTTACAGACTAGTCTCCTGCTAGTCTGGGTCCAGCCATCACTCACACCCCCTGTAGTTACTGTCCTTTGTTCCAGTTTCTTTCAGGTATCCTTGGGGGTGGAGAGGCTATCCCTTTAGCCAGCTGAAGACAAAATGGAGGGGTCTCCCAGGGGTTTAAGTAGACTTTCTCTTGTGGGTGGAGACCCCCCTCCTTACTCCTATGCAGAGTCCAGCTCCAAGACGGAGTTTTGGAGTCACATGGGCAAGTCACATGTCCATGCATGACTCAGTTTTTACCAGCCAAGCCACATTCCTGGGAAATCTCCGATGTGGATTGGTGTCTCCAAGTTCATTGTTGGCTTAAGTGGTTCTTGATTGGGCACTTAATCTGCTGGCCAAATGCTTTACTAGGGCTATCAAGCAAGTAGACAGCCAATATTCCTAACTTCAAGTACAAAAATGATACATGCATACAAATAGATTCAGTAGATCATAACCTTTACATAGATATGTTACATGGCACATGTAGCATAAAACATATTCTAGTTATGGCATATATACATTCATAAGCATATTCCATAAAGCCTTATGAGGGGGCACCGTCACAGTGGGGTCCTGGCCCATAACTGGGACTCCTAAGTGCTATTGCAGTGCAAATCATCATAACGATTCTTGAAAGGTTGAGGTTGGCAACCTTGCATCTCTCTGGGGGCAGAGCAGGTCGCACTGACCATTCTGCTCTGCCTGCCTGGGCCATATTGCTCTCCCTTGCTGAGCAACAAAAGGCTGCCGTCTGATCTCCTGGACTGCATTCAAATCTTTGCTGCAAAACAAGTCAGGGCTGGGAGAGCCCATTGGAGTCACAGGTCCTCTGTGATGCTGACTAAACCTGGGCTCGGTTTCCTGTGCCTGGGCAGAGTCGAGACATCTGAGCCGGACGGGGATTTCCTCTTAGGATAGTGAACTATAGGGCATCTCTTTGTCATAGTGATAAAAGAGACAAAGCTGTGGGGGTGGGAGACATGCCAGATCTTGCCTTGGATGGGGATGGCCCTTGGGTGTTCTTCCCAGGTCCCTGTGCAATCAGAAACGGGGGCCTGTTGAAGGAAATGGGTCAAAAAGAGATGGGTTTGGAGACCCCAGCACCACCACTTCACTCCCCTGAGAATGAAAAAGAAGAGAGCCAGGAGACTTCACCTCACTTTCTGAGAGGAGCCAGAAGGGCTCTGGGGCAGACCTACCTACTTTTCTAAAGGTTCATGGTTAGAGCAAAGCGAACAATGAAAAATATGTGTAACCCACACACCTTCTGGGGGTGGCGTTTGTCCCACCTAGTGGCACTGAGACCACTTAGAGCGAGTTAAATGAGTCTGCTCTACAGCCTTAGCTAAGAGTCAGTTGACTTTTAGCTCATGCACTAAGCTCTAGAGGTCCCAGGTTCGATCCCGCCTGCCGACGACCGGGGTCTGTTGGCGTTACATATGTATTTGCAAATAATTATCTAATGGAAAAAAATCTGGCCCTTGAGTCTGGATATTGTGCCTTTAGGATCTCGTTCCTTCCTTTCATCAGCAAACCTGCAGTATGCATTTACAACCTACTTTTCTGAGGTGCTGAGCATCTGCAGGGCTCATTGATTTCAGCTGAAGTAGCAGGTGCTCATCGCTTATGAAAATTAAGGGCTCAAGCTCATGCAAACATTTATGCACATACTGAACTTTACTTGCTTCCTTAAAATTAGGCACGTGCTTAAGTGCTTTGCTGTCTCAGGACCATACAGTACTTAAAATAACAAACCCTGTATAAAATACCTTGCACCTGCATCCCCATAACAAAGCAGTCATCTAAGGAGGCAATTAAATACTGAAGAAAGACAAAGACTGAATGGCCAAAGCTACTGAAATGCACTTTAACTTTGGGACTCTGGTGATCTAACGCCATCGGATGCCATTGAACGGAGGATTCTGCTGATAACAGCTCCCTCTCTTCATGCAATCAGAATCCTGAGTGCTGTTAAAAGTGGTGCTGGTGATTCAGTGGGTGGAATTCTTCTGTCTGGGGCAGTCCAATACCCACCCCCCGTTGTGGTGGTAGCGGTAGCCCAGGGCTGTCTTCTGAAGGTCAAAATTCGCTGCAAGCTTAAAGAGCATGACTCCTCTGACTTCAGTGGAGTTGTGCCAGCTCACACCAATGCTGAATTTGGCCTATAGCCTTAAAAGGTCCCATGTCATTAATTATTCCTTATTTTAAATATTGATTTATGTTTTACTAGCGCATGTTAAGAGCTCATGTAAAGAGCCGCACAAAAGAAACCATTTGCAGTGTGCTACAAAAAAGTATTATCGGTCCCACAAAACTCAACGATTCCGCTACATATTTTTTTGAGGGCCATCTACTGGCACCCTATCCCTCAACTCTGTCTTTACATGTATACAGAACTACAATGCTCTCGTAGCTGGGCATAACTAGGGGCATAATTAGGCGGTTCAGCCCATAGGGTTCTAGCCATTTTGCAGCGTGAATAATTCTGCCTCCCTAAATCCCATCTGCAGTTTCAGCTGGACACCATGCTCTCCACTGCCTCTCACATTGCTGTGTATGCTCCACCCCAGTGCTGGGTGCAGTGATTCCTGTCTATGACCTTGTAGAGCAGTGGTTCTCAAACTAGGGCTGCCGCTTGTGCAGGGAAAGCCCCTGGCGGGCCGGGCCGGTTTGTTTACCTGCCGCATCCGCAGGTTTGGCCGATCGGGGAGCCCACTGGCCGTGGTTCGCCACTCCAGGCCAATGGGAGCTGCAGGAAGTGGCGTGGGCTGAGGGACGTACTAGCCACCTCTTCCCACAGCCTCCATTGGCCTGCAGAGGCGAACTGCGGCCACTGGGAGCTGCGATCAGCCAAACCTGCAGACGCAGCGGACAAACCAACCAGCCCGGCCCCCCAGGGGCTTTCCCTGAACAAGCGGTGGCCCTAGTTTGAGAACCACTGTTGTAGAGCGCTCCTGGATGAAGGGCACCACATCAGTAGGTCAGACTGTATTTATTGTCAGACAAGTTTGAAAAGTAACCACGTGCTCTCTACTTCCTTTAGGCTGCAATGTAGAAAACGCCTGCTACTCCCTGGGGGTATGTGCTGAACGCACTGCCATTCAGAAAGCCGTATCAGAAGGGTACGTGAATTTCAGAGCCATGGCCATTGCTAGGTAAGTGAGAGCTCTGAATCACATCCCTTTGAATCATTTCAAAATGTGCTTGTACCGGAAAACTGTGCAACACTTTTGTTCCTCTAATTCTCTGCTTCCTGCGCTTTAAACACACAGGCACGTACAGCTCCGGGTGGTGGCAAGAGGCAATTGCCATCCTTTCAAAATGAGTTCTCCCTTTTACCTAATTTTTGCAGCATCAACTTTGAAGAATGGGAGAAAAATGCGATTAGAGAGTTTTGTTTTGCGAGATTATCATTAAACTACATTGCAACCACTTTTAAGACTGAGGTCTGGGTCCTGCCAGCCATTACTCATGCAAATAGTCGCACAGAAGTGAGTAGGACCATTTGAGGGACCCTGATCCCGCAAACTGATCTGTGCAGGACCTCACAGAACTCAGCAGGGCACAGGGGTCCAGTTTGCATAATCCAGGCCCAAGTGAGCACCTAAAGGAGATGCAAAAATCAGCTGTGGGCTTTTAACTAAAGATTGAACGCAACCATCCTGGAAACCTTGCTGCGACTTTTAAATTGGTCAGCCAAAAACTGGAGGCTGCTATTTTAGTTGGTCCTTACTGTAAGCTTCTGTACTGTGATGTGTCTGTAGGCTCCTAATTATTGGTTTGACACACAGCAAGTGTGGAGTTGTTGAGAACATTTTGTGCTAATGGACTAAAAGCAGAAGCGATGTCAAATTATACTACTTGGGAATAATCCATGTCAGTAACCAGAGCCAAGGAATTAATTTTATTCAGAACAAAGGGGCCACATTCATGAAAAGGGATAATGAAGAGAGAGAAATTGTAGGTTTGAATTTTAACAATCACCCGACATCCTTGCTTTGTTTTAGTCTCTCCTTTCAAATGTTCATGAATATTTCTAGGGATAATGAGCAGGTTTCTATATTTATATTAACCTGGTGTTTGCTAAGGAGCAGATCCTTTGTCTTCTACGCACAATGATCATCAACACTGGAAAGGAGTAAAAGCTATATGGTTCTGTAGACCATCCTATGCAGGGTTAGCTACAAGGTACTCCTGAGTGCTTCGTCTAGTCTTGTTTTTAAATGCCTTCCAATACCTCCCTCAGGAGGGTATTTCACATCCTAACAGACTTTGCGGTTAGAAAGCTGATCCTGATATTCATTTGAAATGCACCATTCTTTCACTTCACCCCATTACTCCTAGTGATACCATCTTATGTCCCTCTTCCCCCCCCAAATGATTCTCATGCCTTCCTTGATCTTAACACCTTTCAGATACTTGGAGATAGATACACAGGTGTCAGAATCCTAGTAAAGTCCAAACTGATGGGCCAGTGCTTTCCCTATGGGGCTCTCCCCGTAAGGGATGAAAACGGAGTAAATACCAGCACAGAATGGCCAATGTACACAGAAGAGGATGAGATGCACAGAAACAGCAACATCCCCCTTTCCACGGAAACCTCTGTGGGCTTTGGGAAGACACGACAGGGTCATGGCCAGGGACAAAGTTGCTGCCCATGTGGCATCAACCCTCCCGCCCTCAACCCTCCAAACTCACAAATCTGTGGGGATTTACTGCAGTAAAAGCCTGGAGTGGATTTTCCCAGCCTTGTAAGGTTCCCAGGATCTGAACCCTGTGCAGTGTGGAGCCCAGCTCCATAGAGCAGGGCTGCCCGGGGGGAGGGCAAGTGGGGCAATTTGCCCCGGGCCCCACAGGGGCCCCCACAAGAGTTTTTTGGGGCCCCTGGAGCGGGGTCCTTCACTCGCTCCGGGGGCCCCGGAAAACTCTCGTGGGCCCCGGGCCCCCGGAGCTTCTTCCGCTCCGGGTCTTCGGCGGCAATTCAGCGGCGGGGGGTCCTTCCACCCCGGGACCCGCCGCCGAAGACCCCAGGCCCCCTGAATCCTCTGGGCGGCCCTGCCATAGAGCCTCCCAACTCCCTGTGCTGGTGTGTAGTGGAGGTTAGATGGTGGGCTTGGGGAGGTGGGAAGGGTCAGAAGACCCACCACAATGTGGATCCTGTGGTCCTTTTCCCACCCTGGAGAGAAAGGCACTAGGATTATAGACTGCAACAGTAGCTGCAGAGTAATTCCAAAACAAAGCAGGTCTCCAGAACCCAGCGCCCGGATTAGCAAGTTTGAGTGAATGATCAGCCATTGAAAGACGCCTTACACCAGTGATTCTCAAACTTCTGTACCCCTTTCACATAGCAAGCCTGAGTGCGACCCCCCTTATAAATTAAAAACACTTTTTTACATATTTAACACCATTATAAATGCTGGAGGCAAAGTGGGGTTTGGGGTGGAGGCTGACAGCTCGCGACCCCCCCATGTAATAACCTCGTGACCCCCTGAGGGGTCCCGACCCCGAGTTTGAGAACCCCTGCCTTACACAAAGTGGTATGCAAGCTGCTTTCAACGCATTTTAATACAACCAGATGCCAAGTTTTACATCTGGGAACAAGGAATACAGGCCATATTCCTGCTCTGCCGGCAGCCCCGGACGTTGCGGGGCCCTCTTAGGCCAGGGAATTGGCCGAATCAGCTTAAAGCCGGCCCTGCCCGGGAAGTAGCGAGTGGGAGGAGGGAGGTGAATTTATCTGAACACGCCATTGGTGAGCCCAATACCGGAATACAGCATCCAGTTCTGGTGTCCACATTTTAAAAAAAGATGTTGAAAAATTGGAGAGGAGGCAGAAAAGAGCCACAAAGATGATTTGAGGGCTGGAGATAATGCCTGACAGACGGAGCACATTTATTCTTCAGGTAAAAGCACCACAGAGTATCCATAATAAAAACAATGATTAGATTTAAACACACACCAAATATAACAGGAGTCACCCCCATCAGTCCTATGAGACCCGGCCCAAGTATTTCCAACCCTTCCGCCTGGGTGGGGCCCCCTTTGGTCTTGTATATTTGCTGGATCAGAAGGCAAGCACGGTGTCAGTTCAAACTCACCGCTTTATACCAAAAAGTCCTTTCGTTGTCTGCCAGTCTCTGGAAAACCCAGCTTGAACCAGTATGTGCAAACCATGCCAAGGCGTGGTACCTCACTGATGTTAAAGAACTTCTAGAGAGTGACTTGCCTTAATCTCCCACCACCACCGTGGTCTTTTGTTCCTGTAGGCGCTGTGATAGCCCTCCCCCATGGAGTAGAACACAATCATACATAAACCATTCATAGATTTAATACAATCTGGTCCCCAACCATATTGTATGGGGCTGCAATATCTGTCACAGCTACCTCCCTGGGAGACGTTGAGCAAGTCACTTCACCTCTCCTTTCCTCGGTTTCCCCATCCGTCACATAGGGACAATGATCTTGACCCTCCTTTGCAAAACACGTTGGGATTTATTGGTAGAAAGAGCAATCGGAGTGCTATTTACTAACTACTGTTTGTTATTATTTGATGCATTAACATTATTTATCTGATGCATTAACTGTATAATAATTTTCCATCATGAGCTAGACTAACCTGTGCATTCTATTCTCCTTCGATAGCAACACTGAAGAGGACTTCATCGTGCCCTGTGGGGCCTGCAGACAAGTAATGAGAGAGGTAAACAACTTTTGCTTTCTTTTTCAACAGCTGAAACTAAACTGCTGTAATTCCCACCCACCTGCCTGGCTGAGAACATTGGTTTCTTTCAGACCCCACAATGCTCACTCTGAAATGTCAGGGGACACAGCTCAAAAATTTGCGGAGTAAGGAAGCATTCTGAGCTGTGCCAAATTGTGGGCATCACACTTCCTGCACCCCACAGCACCAAGCTGGGAAGGTTTTGAATGTCGAGAATGACAAAAGGAGAGGGAAACTCTGGGGTCAGTAAACAAGGGCTTCCAAGTTTGGAAACAATATTAATCCCTAGAGTGCTGACCGCAGTGTGTTTTCAAGGGCAGAAACAGAGGGAAAGTTCAGCTCTGGTGTAAGTAGGTGTGGCTTCAGTGCAGCTTACGCTAGAGCCAGATTTGCCCCTACAGCTCTCAACAGTATTACTACAGAGCCAAAGCATGAAAAGGGAGCCAAGCTTGGGTGCAAGGGCTCTGGTCAGGGAAAAATACACTGAAACACGAGAGCTGAGGCAAGGAATCCTTGGCCCCAGCATATATTTTGGGGTTTTCTAGGCACTCAGCTTGTGGATACTGGGGGAAGTATCAGCTAAGGACCGGTGCTCCCCTCAAGCACAGGGTCTGGTGCTCTGCAGAAATCTATTAGCCATGCCACCAAAGCATCCATTCCTCCCCCTCTAGTTGAGGCCATGTGGACTGCAGAGATGCAGGAGGGTTTCAGAGGTCAACATGGGGGCTCCCTGTGTTACATAGTCTGCAAATGCAGCGAGGATGCAACATTTCCACTGCATTTGGGCCCTGCCCATCGGCAGAAGTCTGCTCAAGATTCAGCCTGCAGCATTTAGGACCATTACTGTAGAATGCTGGAGTATTTTGAAACACAAGGATCTTAGGAGGTCCACCGGGTTCATTTTCTTCATGTGCCTCAAACAGGCATAGCACCAAAACGGCTCTAAGCTGCATGTAACGTTTTCAGCACAACTTTAATGGCTAATGTTTAACTGATGGCAGATTCCCTACAGGGATAAGCAGCATTATTTCAAAGGTAAAGTTCCCCGAGGGCCTGATCCCGTATACTTTATGCATCTGAAATCTCCTTTGGAGGTTAAAGCCAGTTTTGGATCTCCAAGAAATGAAGTATCAGGCTCTAATCTAGAAACTGGTAGAGGATTTAACACAGGGGTGGGCAAACTTTTTGTCCCAAGGGTCACATCTGGGTATGGAAATTGTATGGTGGGCCATGAATGCCCATGAAATTGGGGGTTGAGGTGCGGGAGGGGGTGAGGGCTCCAGCTGGGGGTGCAGGCTCTGGGGTGGGGCCAGAAATGAGGAGTTCAGGGTGCGGGAGGGGGCTCCAGGCTGGGGTAGGGGGTTGGGGTGTGGGGGTGAGGGCTCCGGCTGGTGGGGCTGGGGATGAGGGGTTGGGGGGTGCAGGAGGGTGCTCCGGGCTGGGACCAAGGGGTTCGGCGGGCAGGAGGAGGATCAGGGCTGGGGCAGGGGGTTGGGGTGTGGGACGGGGTCAGAGGTGCAGGCTCCAGGCGGTGCTTACCTCAAGCAGCTCCCGGAAGCAGGAAGCAGCGGCATGTCCCCCCTCCGGCTCCTATGCGGAGGGACAGCCAGGCGGCTCAGCACGCTGCCCAGTCTGCAGGCGCCGCCCCTGCAGCTCCCATTGGTCATGGTTCTTGGCCAATGGGAGCTGCAGGGACAGTGCTTGGGGTGGGGGCAGTGTGCAGAGCCCCCTGGCTGCCCCTACACATAGGAGCCAGAGGGAGGAGGTGCCGCAGCTTCCGGGAGCCGCATGGAGCCACAGCACGCGCAGAGGAGAGCAAGCGCCGGAGCAGAGCAAGCCCTGGACCCTGCTCCCCGGTGGGAACTCGAGGGCCAGATTAAAACATCTGAAGGGCCGAATGCAGCCCCTGGGCCGTAGTTTGCCCACCCCTGCTTTAAAAGGTTGCTCAGAGTTTCATATTAATGTGTTAATACTATAAAGGCCTCCAAACTTTGCCCCAAGGAAGAGGTTGCTTTAGGAACTTGCCAGGAGCTAAAGTGGGACAAGCAGGCAGATGTGAACTTCAGGCAGGGAGCTGGAAGGAGGGTTAAGGAGCTCTTGGTGCAAAACACGGCAGAAGGCTCAGGATAGGAAGGGGGAGAGAAAGGGGTCTGAATAGGCGAAGGGTTAATGTTAGGAAAATACAAAAGTGGTAAGCAAACAAACAAACCCCAACAAGAATAGAGAAAAAAGGAAGATGGTGAAACAAACCAAACACAAGCCAAATAGCCCAGTGTTAATATGCAGAACAGAACAATGGCAAAATCTAATGGGCAATGAGCCAGCTGCCTGCTGCAGTAAAAAAAAGTTAACAGAATGCTCATTTTAATTGAATTTACTTCAACTGTGTTCACCCCCCCCCCCTTTCTGCAAATAGTCTAGCAAATGACTCTGTGCAAGGCTAGCTATAGGAATGTGACTCGTTATGACTGCGTTTTTAGCCTCTGCTCCTGAAGTTCTGGGTGGGTAGATTCCTGAGCCTGTACAAAGCCGACTCCCCGTCGTGCAGGGATCAACCCAGGAGGAATAGTTTGCATGATCGTGGCCTTCGACAGCAAGCTCTTCATGGCAGTCACTTTGTCTTATTGCATATCTGTAAAGCGCTGGGCATGCTTTGGCATTGATCCTGCATTTGGATCTACCTGGGCACAAGACACATTTGATCACGGGATCAGGGCCTTTGTGCACTATAAAAATAATACAATAAAAGGATTGGTAATTGCTTCACCCACCCGTGAAATGCAGCCACCTCTGGGTTGAAGTGCAGAACCATCATATGGGACAATGAAACATAAAAAGAATGGCCAGCCACTTAGACAGATACCACATTTTTTTAAAACACATATTGTTTCTGCTTATGGTTTATTTAACTGTTTTTCGCTATTGGGTAAATACCAATGAACAAGTAACAGTTCTGCACAGGTGCGATTCACAGACAGTTCTTTGACTCTTTTTCTAGTTCAGTAGAGACTGGGACATTTACATGACGAAACCAGATGGGACCTATATAGTCAAGACTCTTCAAGAGCTCCTGCCCCTGTCATTTGGACCAGAAGATCTGAAGAAGTTCTGAAGAGTATGTGGAGCATGTGATCTGCAACGACACTAAAGAACCTCCAGACAATCTTATGCTTTCTGTCTGCAGGACGAAGATTTATTTCAGATACTTCCCAACTCTGTCTCCTAGGGAATGTCATTCAACTTCTGTAAGCCTCAGGGAACTCCAATGCAAATAATTTTCATTTATACTAGGCCTGGGGAAGGGGTGGCAAGAACCAGATCTGCCTCATTGTGAATCGGCCAATCCCAAACGTTCACAAGTTCGGTTTAGCAGACATGGCAGTATGATGTCATGGTTAGAGCAGGTTGGGAATTTGTCAACAAAACATTTTGCATGGGAAAACGCCAGTTCATCGAAACAGTGTGAGCTAGTCACATGACCACTCTGTGCCTCAGTTTCCTCACCTGAATAATGATGCATTAACCTTTTTTGCAAAGTGATTTGAGATGCTTGGGTGAGAAATGCTTTTATAGTGCTCAATATTATTATTGCTCAAATTAATGCAGTTACTCCAGATTTATACTGGTTTAACTGAGACCGGTCTCTGGCCAGTCTCATATAAGAGTCTCATATAAGGTCAGAATGTAAATTCTAATATACTAGAGGGTCCACATTATTCTGAAACATATTACTCAAGCACAATGGGCCAAGTGCACCTTCTCCCCGACATCTTCCTACCTCAGGTTATATGCTGTACATTTATTTACTAGGGATTAGAGAACAACCAAACTAAAGATTCATTGAGTTCTGGTTTGGATCCAGATCTCATTTTATGCAAACATCTAAAGTTCCGATGGAGAAGAATTTAACACGGAGTTTTAATTCTGGCCCATCACTACTGTTGATCAAAATTGCACAGATCAATAAATCATACAAATCCAGGAATTTTGTAATGTAAAATAGTTATTTGTAAAGATAAGAAGAAAAACTAAATGAGAGAAGAGAAACTAAAGGTTTAATAAATCCAAAGTATACAATCTTGTTCATCTATGAATCAGGTTATTATTAAGCAACAGCCTATAGCAAACTGAGCATTTTAGATTATGCTGTTTATTGTAATTTAATTTTCAACACTTTGTGAACATCCTCTTCTTCGTTACCCTTAGTTTATTTTTCTTGATTTTATTTTATTTTTCTGTGTGTGAGAATGGATGGGAAAAGGAAAGGGAATGTAGTGGTGAGAACCGGACAATACCCTAGCAGTTCTGTCTCCAGAGTAATATGATGTTATGACTGTGCTACATTAGGCACCATGAAATGATCTGAAGTGAACAAAAATGGGTTAATTTTTCTAATCATGAAGCACTGTTGGTTATTTACATGTTATTGTAAATGTCCAAACAGAATAAATGTGGTCACTAATTCTACTGCTCCATCAAACTGGTGTTTTATTACAGAACAGAGCCACACAAAACTATGTGGTTTTAGTTCCTAGGAGTTTAGAGGTAAAACAGAATAATACTGTACAGCATTTAAGCTACCTATGCAGTCATACCTCAGGTAACACACAACATTGAGTAGCACATAACAGAGTACACATTCACTATCACTCTCAGTCTTACACTCAACAAGAGAGTATATAGCAGGTGCAATGACAGCACACACAGTGCACAATCTATACCCCGGGCACCACACAACATGCAGAGATCCATACCCAGGGCAATACAGAATATGGAGAGTAACACATGGCAGCATGAAGCATACACAGTCCATATGCAGGGCAACACACACCAGAGTCTGCAATCCACAAAAAGGGCAACACAGAGCATGCAGAGTACACATTCAATACCCAGGCTAACACACACCATGCCCAGTACACAATCCATACCCAGAGCAACACACAGCTGCATGTAGCATACACAAACCTTACCCAGCCAGAGTAACACGGTACACAACCTGTACGCACAGTAACACACACAGCATGCAGAGCAGGGTGGATTTGATTTAAATCACTAGTCAGAAAGACTTGATTTAATCATGGTTTTCTACATAAAAGTGCAATCTTGTTGGTTGTTATAACCTTAATACATATTCTTCACAATCAGAGATAGATGTAGGTTTCATTTTTAGAAGGTATACACTATATATATTTTAAACAGTGATTTATTTTGAAAACTTTTCAGATTAGTTTTACAGCTATATCAGAAAACGAATGATAGTTCTTTTCCCAATGACTTCACCAAACAATCTCCAATTCAACAGGTTAATCATTAATATTTGGAGGATGTTCTTGCCATGCTGTAGTAGGAAGAGAACATCACCAGACAGACATTTAAATTGTTTTAACTAAAGCAACAATGTTAAGTATTCTGGATTTTTTTCTTCATCAGCAGACATATACTATTTTAACAAAACAAGCATATGTCCCTCGCTTCTCACGTTTATCTCCAGACTTATTCCCCATGTTCAGATCTATTCCGCCCCCGACAATCTTCTAGTCATTGAACTTTTTGAAACTTTCTACTTTTAGAGAGAGGTGAGGGATTGACTCTGCGTACACAAATTTGCAGAGGGACAATGGAGCTGAGGTCTGTTATTTCTCACCTCTATATATTATTTATTTATTTAAAAACATTTTTGCTGTTAACAAACATGTTACCTCTGGAGACACACATCCACAGTTTGAAGAACTGCAAAACTAAGCATCTCTGATGGTATCTCTAGACTGAGCACTGAGTCCCATTAGGTAGATAGAAAGATTAACCTAAATAATCTATACAGAAGCCTGTGGAAACCCCATAAAATCGGGTCCCTAATCCATGGACTATTAGAGCTCATTTACAAAACTTTTCTTAAACATTACATGACTATATTGTCTCATACTATAGAATTAGAATTTATAATCCCTATTCCATGATGGGATATCTTTGAGCTATAATGTAGCTTAATTAAAACTATCTTTAGACAGGTTTTTTCCGCAAAAAGCATTTTATCAAAAAAATCCTATTTAAATAAAAAAAATCCAATTAAAAATTTTTTTTAAATCAATGATTTTTACCCACCCTGATGCAGAGCACACACCCCAGGCCCAGCGTGACACACAGCATCAGGCCTGGCACACACAACCCGTACTCAGAGTAACACACACACACCATGCCCAGCACACACAATCCATATGCAGTGACACACACCACGCCCAGCACACACAACCCGTACGCAGAGTAACACACACACCACACCCAGTGTGAAACATACATGCACCTTGTGCCTGATCCTCCCCGCAGTGACACACACACCACACACAACCCGTAGGCAGAGTAACACACACACCACGCCCAGCACCCAGTGTGAAACATACACATGCACCCTGTGCCTGATCCTCCCCGCAGTGACACACACACCCCACACACAACCCGTACGCAGAGTAACACACGCGTCACAGCGGGCGGGTCCCCGGGTAACCAGGGCCCAGGGCCGGGCCGAGGCGGAGGCGGGCGCTGCCGAGCGGGGCCATGGCGCTGCGACAGGCTCTGGGCCGTGGGCTGCAGCTGGGCCGGGGGCTGCTCCTGCGCTGGGGGCCGCCCCGGCCGCTGCCCGCCGCGCCCCCTCGGCTGCCGCCGCCGCTGCCGGCCCGCTACCGCTTCTTCCGCGAGTCGGTGTCCGGGCTGGCGGGGCGGCTCCGGCGGCAGCTGCTGCTGCGGGGCCCGCGGGGCGCCCGGGGGCTGAGCCTGGCCTTCGGGCTGGGGCTGGGGCTGCTGGAGCAGGGGCTGGAGGAGCAGAGACAGGCCGCCTCCGCCTGCCGCCACATCCAGGTGCGGCCGCGGCCCTGTGCGGGAGCGGGGCAGAGACCGGCCCGCGAACGGGGCCCCCGGGCTGCGTCCTGCTGGGCACCGACCCCGGGGGCCAGGGAGTGTTGGGGGGGCTGACCCTAGCAATGCCCCCCCCCAGGGAGTGTTGGGGGAGACCCTAGCAATGCCCCCCCATTGGAGGAAGTGGCCGACCCTAGGAATACCCCCCCCCGAGGGAGTGTTGGGGGAGGGGCCGACCCCAGCAATGCCCCCCCAGGGAGTGTTGGGGGAGACCCTAGGAATGCCCCCCCCTTTTGGGGAAGTGGCTGACCACAGGCTGCCCCCCCCAAGAGTGTTGGGAGAGGGGCCGACCCTAGGAATGCCCCCCCTTTGGGGGAAGTGGCTGACCACAGGCTGCCCCCCCCCAAGAGTGTTGGGAGAGGGGCCGACCCTAGGAATGCCCCCCCTTTGGGGGAAGTGGCTGACCACAGGCTGCCCCCCCCCCCAAGAGTGTTGGGAGAGGGGCCGACCCTAGGAATGCCCCCCCTTTGGGGGAAGTGGCTGGCCCCAGGGCTGCCCCCCCCGCCTGGGATCCTGGAGGGGGACCCAGGTCACAGCTCGTGAGAAATGCCTGGCGAGGTGTGGGGGTGACAGGGTCCTAGGGATCTGCCTGTCAGTGTCTCGGGGAGACCCGTTGTGGGGTGTGTGGGGGACCAGGGGCTGGTTATCTCACAGACACTGTCCTGGCAAGTGGAGGAGCCCGACGCCCCCCACACTGAGCCCCAGGGAGTGTGGGTCCCAGAAAAGGAAATCCCAGTTAGTCCTTTGGGCATCTCCAGTCCAGGGAGACACGGGATCCCATCGGGGTTGGTCTCCTGGCGAGGTACCAGTGGCAGAGGAGGAATGTGTCTTGTGTTGGGGGACTAGCCCCATTTGCACAGAAGCATAGTAAGTGGGTGGGGGTCCAAGCAACAGGGCTAAGGACTGACTTAGCACTAAGATTCCACCCCCGCCCTCCCAGAACTGGTGAGGGTCCCTATACGCTAGGGCTTGGGCATGCTGGTGCCGCTGCCCATGCTAGATAAGTGGAGACTGACAGTCTTGCGGGCTATCAGACCAGTACCTTTCCCCAGCTCTAAATACACTTCTATAAAACCTCCTTTTCTCTCTTCCTCAAGGCGTTTTCCTTTTCCTCTACCGCTGCCCCCACCCCATCCTCATCCATTATTTTGTAAACTTGTTCTCCCCCTGACTTCTTAAATACTGTACCTTCCCGTTTATTTTATTTAGTTTAAGTTAAACTGATATGAGAGTGTCTACACACAAAGTTGCTTTAATTAAATTGGTTTAACTTCAGAGCTTTAGTGAAACTGTTGAGACTTTGTATGTAAACTAGGGCTGTCAAGCATTTAAAAAAATTAATCACGTGCGATTAAACATTAATAGAATATAGTTTATTTAAATATTTTTGGATGTTTTCTACATTTTCAAATATATTTCAAATACAACACAGAATACAAACTGTACAGTGCTCACTTTATATTTATTTTTATTACAAATATTTGCATTGTAAAAAACAAAAGAAATAGTAATTTTCAATTCACCTAATACACGTACTGTAGTGTAATCTCTTTATCATGAAAGTTGAACGTACAAATGTAGCATTATGTACAAAAAAAACCTGCATTCAAAATAAAACAATGTAAAACTTTAGAGCCTACAAGTCCACTCAGTCCTACTTC